CACACAGGGCAAACAACTTACCGAAAGAAGATACTCATCAGAGGCACATTGAAGGGACTCACATCAAAATGCACAAAGAGTTTCTCCAAATAAAAGGCAGGTAGACTAAGCAGGCAAAGGTAAAAATTCACTTGCACATTGAGTGTAGCTTACGGGAAGGCAGGAAAAGACTTAAATGACCCTTTATGTAAGACACTATGGCGCTTGGCTGGTAAGAATTTGAAAGCAGTCTGCTGAAATCTAAATGAGAATGGATACCAGAGTGACTGTTACTGGAAGAAATGGCCAGGACACATTTTATCAAGGCTGTTTGTGGAACTCAGACACAGCCGCAGCGCGGCTCTGAGATGAGGATGCTTGGGAAATCGCCTTGGCAATATTATGAAGGAACATACGTGCTCCTTGTGACTTCCAGCCTGATAAGCAAGACAAATGAGCACATATGCCCACGAAACACACACACATGTGCATGTTCATGCCAGCACTATTCGTAAGATGTCAAAGTTTCAAACAAGAAAACATCCACTGGCAAAAAGGTTAGTGTTGAGTAATGCACTCAACTGACTAAAAAGTGCATCAATAAACAAATAACAAACACCTACTCTAGGAGCATTGTGTGTACCCTTGACGTGTGTACTACTGGGGAAGAAAAACCCATAAAGTAGCACATGCTGTGTACTCTTCTGCATTTGCTAAGGTGGCAGAGCGGGCGGAATCAGTGTGTTATGGGAAAAGACGGAATAGTAGTTCCATTATGCCAGGACCGATTTCGAAGATTGCCCAGCCAAGGGGAGGGGCCCAGGGAAAGAGTTCAGTGTCACAACCCAGATGACACACACATTCTCCTCACATATTTATTGTACACATCTGTAGAAACAATCATTGGACCATACTTTGAAGATTTCTGTATGTGTCTGATCCCTCTGTAATGATTTTTTTATTACAGGTACGAAAAGGTGCTTTTAAAAAATACATAAAAGTATAAAACCTGATAATTCAGAAGTAGAGTTCTTGGAGTGGGGAAGATTTTATAAAACTGAAGTTGAGAAAGTCGGCTGAGGTGATGGTGCAGTTCGCTGAGCACCGGGGCTGTTCCACTGCTCTGCCTGTAGGAGGTGACAGGGGCTCTGAGAGGCATTCTGAGAGAGATTTCCCCGGGAATCCACAGAGGATCCCAGGGCCCGCATGCCAATCTCCTGGCTCCAGGGCCGTTCCCCGTGGCCTGCAGAAATCCGGCTCAGCGACTTGGGCAGCCTGGTGTGCCCAGGCCTTGCAGGAAGGTCTAGCACACACTCGGAGCGCATGCAGCATGCTCAGTCTGAAGTGTAAGTGCTCTCAGGTGGTCCCCCAACACTTCTCTCTTACACTTAGGCACCAACCCGTGGTCTGCTCCTTTTCACTGCATTTTATTTTCCTTTCTGCACTGCACAGCAGGGAGCTTGGGACCCATGACCCCAGCGCAGCCCGCAACTTCCCTGGCACAGTACTCAAGGTGGAGAGAGGCAGAAGGGAGGCTGGGCACTGCTCCTGTTTGGCAGAGCATCCCGTAGGTCAACCTGGGCGAGGAAGGAAACATCAAAGCCTGGTAGCTTCTCCTTTGAAGATTCTGACCTTGAATTTTGCTTTCACACTTATGCCCAGAAAGCTAGCTTTGAGTCAGTAAGCTCAAACAGGAAAATCTTTTTCCAGACTGCACTATGGGGAGGGGGCTTCCTAAGGTAAACCGTGTAGGTCTACCATGCTGCCAGCTAAGTCCATAAGTGCGGCAAAGCATTCCAAGTCCTGAAGGAGGTCATGCCGCATCCTACGTAATCAGAGCATGTTGAACTGTACAAGAAAGGAAAGGCGACAACACAGAGATGTAAAAAGGTATCCATCTGCTTTTCTATTGACTGGGACGTGAAAGGTAAATAATAAAAAATACCAGGACACTTCACATTACACTGATATTTCACAAAAGCACTCAAGTCCCAGTCCGTTTCTATTATAAACAACTTGTAAGTATTTATACTCACTCAGAAAATAGGGACAGCGAGGAGCAGTGTAAGATTTTGCTTAAAGAACCAATGAATGGCTGCAGACCTCACTCAGAGATACCACACGTCACAGTGGGTGAGACTGAGACTCAGGCTGACAGCCGGGGGTTTCCTCCAGTCCTCAGTGGGCCGGCAGTGTGATCATTCACCGGTAAAATGGGAATATGTTGACAGTGAAACTCTGGGAAGCTGAAACAAGAGGATCACAGGTTCAAGTCCCATCTCAGCAGCTTAGCAAGACCCTGTCTCAAAATTAGAAAACAGAGCTTTGCATAGAGCGGGGAGGAGTAGCATTAGTCTTGACCCCTCTTACAGGATTACTGTCTGGTGGTGACTTTTACCTGTGTTCCTATGACCATGTTAAATGTGGAAGCACAAAGGAATTCTGTGCTTGCAGGTTTCTCACAGTGCAATGAAAACATATGTGGGATTTGACATCCAAGGTGCCCTCCATTCCTGTGGGCTCTGCCTCCTCAGAACCAACTAACCCTCAATGGGAAGGGTTTTCCTAAAAAAAATGCTTCTCTGTTGTCTCCTAATGATACAATTACTGACACAGCATTTACATTGCATTCAATGTTGCATGTGACCCCAAAGTGATCTAAAGTGCCGGGGAGGAAGTTTGCAGAAACAAGAGCCATTTTATACAAGACCCTTTAATTTAGGTGTCCCCAGGATACCGCAACAGGTCCCTTAGAGGACACTGAGGCTGACTGTATGTGTTGGCTGCTTTTCGCTCATTGCTAATACAAAATACCCAACACCTGAAGTTAAAGGGAGAAAGGCTTATTTCACTCCCAGTTTGTGGAGGTTTCAGTCCATAATCTTCTGGCTCCAGGGCAGGGTGGCTCAGCAGAGGGCCATCAGTCAGTGCCAAACAGAAGGTACCAAAGGAACAAGGGGAAGACACATCTCTTTCTGTCCCTTTCATGTATCCAGTCTACCCAGAATAGGGCGGTGCCAATCCACTCAGAAGACTGATGTAGCAATCACTCACCCTTAACCCTAGCACCTTTTACCCTAGAATTGCACCTTGAAACAATCACACAGTCTAGAGTCAGCCTCCTCTGAAAAAGCCCCACCTAGACTTCAAGAGGCTTTGGGCAGACATCTAGACACAAGCCAAGCTCCCTGTTACTACAAGCAATAAAGAAACACCCAACTGAGGCTCGCAGTGCTGAGTTCTATGGTGAGAAGAATGAGAAACTGTGGAAGGCCCCAGTCTCCTGAAGCTTGAGGTGCGTCTCCATAGCTGACTCGGCCTGTGCCCAGAAGCAGGAGACCGTGGGTTAGGAGGAGGTCCTCCACAGAACCTCACAGAAGGGCTGTGACCATTCTGAGTAGGTAACCTGTCCATGAGGGAAAGGACGGTGAGAGACAGGCACATCCCCTTCTTAGGGAGCGGGCACAATCTCCCCTCTGCTACCTGGGCTCCTCCTGCACCTTCAGTGAAATGATTGTTACCTGGCACCACACCACCCCAACAGCAGTGCTCCAGGACAGAGTGGAGCTCTCCCTCCCCCTGCGCTGGGCACCACAGCTTCCATTCTGAAGAAGCCCCCCCCCCACCTTCCAGAACACTCCCTGCCCCCCCTAGACTGCTCTGCAGCCCTGTAGCAATCAGGGGCCCTGTGCTTGGACCAATGCAGGGCCTGGAGCCCATATACAAGCAGTCCTGAGTGCCCTGTGCTGTGGCATACACTCTGATCAGGCTGGGGGTTTAGCTCAGCGACTCAAGCACTTGCCTGGTTAAGCCCGAGTTCATGATTTCGATCCCGGGACCCCCCCCCCCCAAAAAAAAAGTCCACCTCAGTGTTCTTACTGACTTGCTCCTGATTTATTTCCCAAGTAGTGTGGGTTCCAAATGTCCCATAGAGGTCTACAGGACCTCCTGGTGGTGCTTACCGCCAGTCTTGGCCAGAGTGGTGGGGCTGTTCACACCGAGGGCAGCGGGCAGCGGCTAAGCCCGGGCATCCCCAGCTGTGAACAGCAGGGCTGCTCCATGGCCACCTTGGTGCTGGGGGATTCCACAGTAGGGGGAACACCGGAGAGCCCAGGCTTCTGTTCCGGGTATTTTATGAACAAAGGGACAGTATTAAAGCAACAGTGGTCCCGCTTCTCTACGATTGCATTAATAGTGAAAATATTACCTATTTTTTAAAGAAATATTTTTTGTCTAGAAAAGGAAACTTCCAGCCAACTGCCTGTGTTGCTAGTGTAATATTTTCAGCTCTCTGGAGGACCTTGAGGAGCAGGTACAGGTGTCCTATCTAGTGCCCTGGACACCCCGATGAACGCCAGGGCCAGGTCTCCTTCTTCCCATGTCCCCTCTCCTCCATCCCCGCCCTTCCCCTCCCTCCTCGCCGTGTCTCCATCTCTTTCTCTCTTTCTGACTGTGGATCTTTCCCTCCTTCCTTTAACGCTGATTTTCTCCCCGCTGCTGATTGCTCTTAGTTTCTCCCTTCCGGAGAGGAAAACACGGAGGGCGCTCGCTGGGCCCGCCGGCGCCTTTCCGGCGCGGATCTGCGTGGCGGCGCCCCGCGGCCCCCGCTGCACCCCGCGTCCCCTGCTGCTGCCCTGCGGGCCGAGGGGCGCCCGCCCGGGCGGGGCGCTGCCGCGCGGGGCCGGCAGGAGGCGCGCGCGCTCCGGGCTGGCGGGGAAGTTCGAACCGGGCTGGCCGCGGCTCCCGCGGGATCCCCAGCCCCCGCCCGAGCCCCGCCCCCGGCTCCCCCTCCGAGCCCGTTCGGCTCTCGGCGCGGCCCGCGCTCGCGCTCGCGGTCGCGCGTGGGACCCGCGTCTCCTCGCCGCCCGCCGGACGCCGCGCCCCGCCCGCGGTGGGCGCTGCCGGCGGGGGAGCGCGCGTGGGCGCGGGCTGCGCGTCGGGGTCCCCCGAGCCCGGCCCCTCCGTGGACACGCGCGGCGCGGTGCGGGGGAGCCGCAGACGCGGCCCTCGGGGCGCGGGGCGCACGTGGGGCTCCGGGGCTCCGAGCGGCTGTGCGGCCGGCGGCGCCCCTCGGCGGGGTCGCGGGAAGCCGGGACGAGGCGCCCCCGGCGCGGCGCCGCGCTGCAGGACCATGGCCCCGAAGCTGCTGCTCCTGCTGTGCCTCCTCTCGGGCTTGCACGCGCGGTGAGTGGCGCAGGGGCCCCGCGGGAGGCCGGAGCCCAGAGGGCGGCGGGCGCTGTCCGCCCCGCGGTCCCGAGCCGAGCAGGGGTGGGCACCGGGAGCACAGGCTTCCCGCTCACCTGCACCCGGGCTCCCGCCTAAGGGACAGACAGACAGGGCCCCACCTGTGCTAGGGGAGGCTGCAGCCTCCCTGCGGTGGGGGGGGGGGGCGGGCGCGGGGCTCTGAGAGGGGTGGTGGGCTCTCCTGACACTTCAGGACCCGGTGGGTTTACGAAGGGCTGAAAATCATGAATGTAGGGTAGTGGCTGTATTTCATGTTTCCTGAACAGTCTCTTACTTACACCCCAGAAGTTACACACACGCACACACAGACACACACACACTCACACACACCGATCGATCTACATCTCCATGGAATCCATCTCTGGCTATTCCCAGGACCCAGGCATCCTGGTTTCCCAGCTGCTCAGTTGAGACCAGATCAAAGAATAGCCCGGGCTGGAGGCAGCAGAGGGAGTTGGGGGAGGTGAATATCCTGCTTCCCTGAAAGGACTCTGACCCCAGATCTTACACACACACACACACACACACACACACCCTGCGACCAGCCTCTTCACATGAACACACACACATCTGACCCCACGAGGCAAGCATGCTAACAGGGCTAGTCAGGCTCCTGCCCTGGGAGAGGGCATGGTGGTGATGGTGCACATCTGTGAGGTCAGTGCTTTGGGCAGCCGAGAAAGAGGACCAAAGTCAAGTCCTCCTGGACAACTGACTCAGACCAAGACTGTCACGAGATACAGAAAAGGGGCTGGTGGTGGAGCCCAGTGGTCTACTCTCCCCCCTGCCCCCCGCATTTCTTCCTGGTAAGAAATGATGTCACCCTTTAGGACCTTAACCTTCTTCTCAAACAGTAGCAACCTCAGACTTAGAAGCCTCCAGGAGCCGTGGAAAGGGCCCTGGAGGACAGAAGGGCAAGAAGGGTTAAAACCTGTTGCTCTCAACACCACTGGAGGTTCCTGGGATGCTTAGTTCCAGCTCACAGGCCAGACCTCTGGCTGGAGCTTGCCTGCTGCCCTGGTGAAGCAGATTAATTACCTCCAAGCTTTCTGCCCCTACCCCAGCGGAACCTCAGCACACCCCTGTCCTCCGCATGTGGCCCCCTTTCCTGGGTCTGGGAATCTGAGCATAAGGGAGCATCCCCATGGGCAGGGAGCCCTGCGGCTGTCCAGAGGTCTTTGTTTGCGTTCCTATTGTAAAACACCAAAGAGCTAAGAAGACCCACTACCAAAGGCCAGGACCTGTGGCTGGGTCCCCTGCTCCTACTGTATCTGACACTAGTGCTTCTAAGGAAGAAAACCCTGGGCCTCCCCTCCACGCCACGCGGCTTTGCTGAGTTGATAGTGTGAAAGCCAGTTGTGCTGGTGACTCAGAGATGGTTCTGAATGAGGCAGGGCCACTGGGCCCAGCAGCCAGAGTTTCTGCCTGTGAGGGAGGGAGCTGGTAGAAAGATGGGAGTGTGTGTTTTGAGCTTGCTGGAGCCTGAGGTAGCTGTGTTAGGAAGCAGGCAGCACGGGCAGGAGGTCCAGCCTGGGGTCACGGTTTGTGTGAACTTTCTCTTGCTGCTAACTGCATGGAGGAGCCTGCAGTTTAGGGTTAATCACCTCTGTAGATCTGTGTTTACTGAGGTTCTCAAAGGATGCTCCACGGGAAGATGTTGCAGTGTCTCCCTGGAAGAGGTCAGCTTGTGGTCAAGTTTGTGGGATTCCCCAGTGGACGTAAAGTCTCCTCAGCAAAGGCAGATGTGCCCATTTTAATATGCTCTCTCTCCAGGGTCCGAGCTGTGGAAATCATGGTTGTATACCAGCTGAAAAAATGCAGACGTTATAGTAATGGGAAAGTCTTTGTTCTTTGAATGGGTTTGAGAGAAGTGTGAAATCATCTGACGCCCAGTTTCATCTCTGAGAACTGTTACTCACTCTGAGAGGCCTCTCAGTTCATTCTGGAATGCTGTCCTGGCGGACAAGAGCCTTGGAAAAGCTCTTCCAGTTAGGGCTTGTGGGTAACTTACTCCCATTGGAGTGAGGGGCTTCCCCCCCAGACACCCAGAGAAATGCTTCCCCTCAAGTCACACTTGGGTATTTTTGATGGATTAAAGATGCTCAGCTACTTTCTGAGATTTATTAGCTTCTTTAATGTTTGAAACGTCAGACTTTATCTCTTTCTGGATGAAGAAGAGGCATAGAGCATGAAAATAGTGTCTGAGATTTGAGCAGTTGTTTGACAGTGACAATACATCACTGGTTTATTTTTAAGAAAAAGCTAATTGCAGTAATAGTGCCTAGGACACAACAATACAAGCAACAGAATGCTCCCAGCGATTCTGTGTAACCCACGTAGGATTTAGGAGAAGAGAAGAATCCGTTTTAGCATCTTCCTTTGCTTCCCGAGGGAGAATTCACTTTCCTTGTTGTATGGATCTTCCTGTGGGGCTGATGTCTGGTGCTAGCAATGCAAGCCTTCTGATGCATCTTCACAGCATAGTGAGAAACACAGAGCCTGCAGCTGAGAGGCAGGAATATCCCTGCCTCCCTGTGCCCGTGGTCCACCCCTCAGTGACAGAGTGGGGGCTGGGTACTCTCTACAGGGGCACAGAAAACCTGTCACTTTTTCTGTCTCTGTTTTCCCTCCTCACCTCCTGCCCTGGGTGCTCAGGAGGGAGGGAGTGCGATTTCAGGAAAATGCTCACCACTAGAGGGAGAATTAGACCCAGTGTAAACAATGCCTGGGATTGGACCAGCTCAAAGTAATTTTTAGAATCTAAGGCTGTGCCTAGAGAGGATGGCAGGCATCAGTGAGTGTGCCCACCCTGTGCACATGTGGCTCTTGGGGCAAGAGAAAGTCACAGGGCCTGGGACTATGGTCTGGTTCCCTGGTGCTCGGGAGCAGAGGTCAAGAAAAGGGGCAGAGAGGGGAAGAGGAGGAAAGAAGGAAGAGAGGAGGGAGAGAAACTGAGGCCAGAGGGAGGGAGAGCGTGGGGGACCGCGAGGGTGCTGGAGCATGGTGGCTGAGTTGGTCACCACAATCTTATGGCAGCTGGAAAAATGCAAATGTTATGGTACTTGTATTGCTGTGTCTTTCTCCTCTGAAAAAGGCTTTGTTCTTTGAAGGAGTTTTGCAGAAGTGTGAGACAATCTGATTTCCAGTTTCATCTTTCAGAAGTGTTACTCGTTCTGAGAGGTATCCTGAGATTGAAGATTTCCCCGGTCCTGGGCAATGCTTGGTCCCCAGTCATTTATCAAAATGCTTCAAACACCTGTGTTCTTCGTTTTTGTAAGGTGGCAATACTAACATTCCTGATGCTGCTCCTGCTAACATATTTTAGAGCAGTGTCTACAATTTTGTTATTTGTAAAAATTCAGTTTTACAAATAGTGAATTCAGCAAATCACTTATTGAACGTATAACTCACATTTGTTTATGGATTTCTACTGATGGTAAATGGTCTGTGTGAATAGAAGCCACAGGAATGTGTAGTCGCTGTGGATGATTAATTTGACCTCCTAGTTGAGACACACTGAATAAATAGAATTACAGCTTAGCAGCAGCCTGGGACGAAAAGCCCCAGTGGAGAAGTCAATCTGCAGGCCTGTGCTCTGCACTCACGGTGACAGTGTCATGTACATGTCACAGCCAGACCTCCACACCTGTGGGTTCTGCATTTGCAGATTCTACCAACTGTGCAAAGAAATACCTGGAAAAATTGTGCCGAACACGAACAGACTTTTTTTCTTGTTGTTGTTCTTCAGGTAGTATTGTGTGATGACGCTGTGTGTAGCATTTACAGTGTACCAGGTACCAGGCATCTAAAGATGGGTTAATGTGTCCATGAAGGTCAAAAAGGAAATGCTCAGTCATTTCATTTGGTTGACTTCAGCGTCTTCAGGTTTTGGTACCCGTGAAAGTGGGTTGTGGAACCAAGTAAGCAAAGAGAACTGTATTTAATCCAGGTTTAGACTGTTTGACCACTGCTCTCTCTAGTCCGTGTTACAGCTGGTATATGTATGTCCATAGTGTATATATATATATATATACTATATGTATATATAGTATATCATATACATATACTATGTAACATATGAGGAGGTGCACATAAATATATATACGTGCTTCTGACAATTTAAATGAAGTGTGTGGACTGAACTTTAAAATGCTTGTATAATTTTATCAATTTTATGCTCATTATATCTCATTTAGAGAATCCCCAAAACTACCTTTAGAAAACATATGTCCCGGGGCACAGATTTGCTGACATGGCCCTGACATTTTGGCTCCTGTTTGGGAATTTGGATATAAATGACCTCACGTCTGTTCCGCACAAATAGTACCATTTTTGATTCTTGTTTTCCTTCTGTGAAAAGAGTGTCCTAAAGTCCTGCACACTGACAAGCTAGAATGGAGGTGTTTGGTTTGGTTTGTGACTTTCTTGCCTGGCCAATGGTGATCCACCTGCAAGTAGATTCTTCTTCCAGAAAGCAGGACACTCTGTTTTCTAGGCCTGACAGACTGTGGGTCACCTCCAGGCTCTCCAGTGAAACACTCCTGTCTGTGAGTGTCACTAGCAGGGCCCGTTCTGTATTCAGCAATGCGTGAAACCTTTTTCGAGATGTCCAAGCTTTCACTGGGACCTGCTTATTAAAAACCTAAAAGCTAGTTTGAGGCCAGTCTAGAACATAGTGAGACTCTGTCTCAAGAAGAAACAAAAACACCCCCCAAATCAAAACTGCTCTGTTAAGAGTATACTAAAGAGATTTTAGGTCTTAATGACCATATTGGCCTTCAACAGGTGAATCCAGCAGTGTTGACTCAGCCGGTGAAATTGCCACAGGGTGTTCCCCAGTCACAGCTACCACCTTCACCGATGTCCTGTGCATGAGTGCGGGTCAAGCAGGCATCCTGAGAATGTCCATGTCTGTGTGCACCCCCAGACTCCACTCTGCAGGAGGCACGGGTTAGACCCAGACATTTCCAGTGAGTCCATTCTGCAAATTCTGCTGTCACCTTCAGCTAGGGAGCGGGAACAACAGGAGAAAGTAAACCGTGGCAAACCCCTAGAAGGCGTGTGCCTCCATCCCGGTGGTTTCCAGGGTGTACCCAGAGTGGCTCTCTGATCTGACGAGGATTTCCGTGTCCCAGGGTTCTGTGGCTTAACTTGCTCAGGGAATGATCTGTGACAATGAATGAAAACATTACACCACGGTTGTGGCAGCTTCATTCTTCCTGCCTGGTTCTTCTTGAGTGTTTCGTTTTATTTTTAAATTTTAGATTCAAAGCATGTAGATTTGTGCTTAGGGTCACGGGAACTTTCTGCTCATTTCAGGGCTTCTCCCGTGGCTGCTCCAGGGCCATCGCTGCATCTTTATGTCGCTTTCTGTGTCGTGATACAGGTCCAGCAAGGTGGAAGAGGATGAATATGAAGATTCTTCATCGAATCAGAAGTGGGTCTTGGCTCCAAAATCTCAAGACACCGATGTGACCCTTATTCTCAACAAACTGCTCAGAGAATACGATAAAAAGCTGCGGCCGGATATTGGAAGTGAGTGTGGCTCGTTATTCCAGTAGAAAAAATGTTATGGTGATATATTTTTGAAGTATTTGTTTTTAAATAATTATGAATTTAGAAAGTCTTGCAATGATAGAGCAGAGACACAGCTCCTAGCTTCAGTATGGTGGTGAATCCAGGAGGTTGAGTGGGTATGGGGTGTGTGTGTGTGCAGTGGTGTCACCTTTTGTCGCTTGTGAGCTGGTGTGATATCTACAGTGAAGGTCCTCAGCTATTTTATGCTCCTAGAGATCCCTCTGGCCGTCTTCTTCCAGTCACAGTGATTCTCTTCCCCAGCTTCCTGACATCGCCCTGGTCTGCTCACTCTGCCATGTAGAGAACATTACGTGTGGAATCCTCCACTGTGGAAAGCCACGGCTTTTCATTTAGCAGAGTGGGGTAGAGGGTCAGAGAGGCCATGTGTGTGCCGGTGGTGTTTCTCAGGTTGAAGTTTTCATGTGCACACGTAGCCCAGCTCATCACTCACCTGTCAGGGGCATCTTGGTTGTTTCCACCTTTGCCTGTACACATAACATGATGATATTCACATGTGTACAGGTATTTCTGTGTCTGCATAAAATTTTCTTCTCCAGGATATATGCCCAGGACTACCACTGCTAGAATGGATGTTTCAAAGTTTTGTTTTCCAAGATCTTTTTTGTAAATATAAAAGTCCAAACTGAGGTAATTTGTGGGGTGATGGGATGTTTCAATGTGTGTATATATTACATGATGTTTAAAGCAGAGTCAATTTACCTTTATCTTCATTTATTTTTTCTTCATGGTGAGAATATTCAAAGACCTTTATTCCAAACTGGGCGTGGTGGCATGCGCCTGTGATTCCAGCACCCAGGAGGATGAGGCAGGAGGATCACTGAGGCCAGCCTGGGCTACGTAGTGAGCTCAAGGCCGGTTTGGCCTACATAGCGAGACCCTATCTCAAAAAAAATTACTTCTTGTAAAATCCTTTCAAAATATATGGCAGATCGTTTTTATCTCTTCCCACTCACCTTCTCTCTGCCATCTCCAGCCGTACCGTCTTTTCTCTCCCCTACTGTGTATCACCATTCTGCTCTCAACTTGTTTTTTCAGGGAACTGTCAAACTCTTTTCTAAGTGCCTGTAACATTTTCTATTTGCAGCCAGCAATTTCTGAGCAGCTCAGTTCTCTCTGTTCTCACCAGCTATTGGTAGAATCATTATGCTTTTATGTTAGCAACTGTAATTAGTAAATGCTTAATAGACTGACAGCATATGGTACTGCCCTGATAGTGGTAGTGATACTCTTTATTGTTTGTCATCAGTATATCCTTGTCATTGAAACATCTCTACCCTAGTGACTTTTCTCTTGTTGCTGAGACAAAATACCCAAGTCCTGAAATGAAGGGAGGAAAGGTCTACTTCGTTCTCAGTTTGTGGAGGTTTCAGTCTGTAATCAGCTGGCTCCAAGGCAGGGTGGTGTGGCCCAAGGGCAACCCTCCCAGGAAGCAGGGGACAGCAAAGCAACAGGAGCAAAAGGGCTGGAGATCAAGCTGCTTACCCTCCCTAATATTGTAAGCAGGCTCTGAGCCTTCAGGCGAGTCAGCGCTTGCAGTGTCTCTGTGCCCTCCTCTTGCACAGGCTGAGGGCCCTGGCCCTGTCTGAGTCCCCTAGTTAAACTTGTGACCTTCTCAGATCAACACAGTGAACAACACGGTGGAGAGGTATGGACTTCTTTACAGCCAGGATGCAGAGTGCTGAACTACTTAGTTAAGACTGTGGACTTCTCAAGTTGTCTCAATGAACCAGCCATAACAACCTCTCTATGTTATGAGCCCTTCCACAAGTTGGATTGCTTTGTTTGTCTTGTTTCATATTTTACTGCTCAGTATGACGAATTTGCTGTACATTCTGGATGAGTCTTTGTCAGGTCTCTAGCTTGTCAGTTTATCCTTTCAATAAGAGCTTTCACAGGGAAAGTTTTTATTACTGATGAAGACCAGTTACTTATTTTCCTTTTATGGAGGATGGTTTTGGTGTAATCTCTAAGAACATTTTAAGGCATTCTAATTTCTGGTGATTTTCTTCTAAAAGTTTCATAACTTTATATTTTACATTCTAAATCACCATGAAGTTAATTTTATATAAAATCAGAGTGTGGGAATTGTGATCCATATTCCTTCCCCCATTTCCAAGTCCATCCCCACAAGCTACTGAAGTGAAAAAGTCCTCTATTGAATTCTGTTTATTTAGTTTTCAGAAATTCATTATCTTGACTAACATGGGGTACTCTTGATTCTGTGTCATTTGTCTGTGTGTCCATCTCTCTGTCTCTATTCCATTTGATTACTGTAGCTATATATAATTCTTGAAATTAGAGTTATTGAGGATCCTTATTCTTCTTAACTCTTAGTTCATTGTTTTCATATATAAATTTTAGAAAAATGTTATCTGTGTCTAAAAGGAGAAAATCTTAGCCAGGCATGGTGGTGTGTGCCTGTAATCACAGGTTTTGGGAGACTAAGGCAGGAGGACGGCCAGGAGTTTGAGGCCTGCCTAGACTACATACTTAATGAGTTCAAGACCATCTTGGACCATACAGCGAGACCCTGTCTCAGAAGATGACAAATCAATAGATAAAACCTTGTGGGGACATTGGTGGGAATGATATTATCGCTATGTCAGTTTGGAAAGAACTGGACATATATACTATGTTGATTTTGCCAATCCATGGACATAATATGTCTCTCATATATTTAGAGATTTCTTTAATGTCTTACGTAAGTAACTTCTAGCGGTTAACATTTGAATCCTGAAAATATTTCGAAGTATTATCATTTGAATGGTACTTTTTTTTTTTTTTTTTTTGGTTGTTGTTTTGTTTTGTACCTGGAATTGAACTCAGGATCTAGCTACTCACCAGGCAGGCACTATGCCACTGAGCTATATTCCTGGTCTGGTACTGTATTTTTAATTTTTTTTTAAATCAGTACCGGGAATCGAACTCACAAGCATGCACTTGCAAGTGCAGGTGCTGAGCTAAATCCCCAGCCCATGTATTTTAGTTTTCATGTGTTCACTGTTATTATACAGAGACAGAATTGACTTTTGTGTGCCGATGTGTTTTTTGACTAGGAATTTTAATAGTTTTGGAAGTATTTTTTTTTCAGATAGATTTCTGAAGATATTTTGTGTTTAGCATCATGTCACCTACGAAAAGGAGAACTGTATTTCTTCCTTTCTGATTTTTTCTTCTCTCTCCTAGTGCAGTGGCTAGCCTGCTGGCGAGGGGCAGTGGTGTGAGTGAACATCTTTGTTTTGTTTGGATCTACAGACAGGGTGTTCTGTGTTCCATCATAAGGATGATGTGAGCTGGAGGTGTTCTGCATAGATTTTTATTCTTGTGGAAAACTTGCTTTCATTTCTAGTTTCTAAGGGACTTCTTAAAATCACCCATAAGCACTGAATTCTGCCAAATATTTTACTGCATCAATTGGTATAATTATGAGGTTTTTTTCTTTTGCTTAATATGGTTAATTGCATTGATGTATGTTTTGCATATTGAACCCCAGTCTTGTCCCTAGTGTTAACTCTACTTGATTGTGTCTACCAATGTGTGTTTTTAAAAATTGTCTTTTATTTATTGCAGAATTCACTTTGTGAGTACTTTGCTAAAGATTTTTTTTTTTTTGTATCTGTACATGAGGACTACTAGACTAACATTTTCTTTTCCTTTTCTTTCTTCTCTGTTCTTTTCCCACTGTCTTTTTTTTGGTATTGGTGTCAGGTACCACCAGCATCGTAAGATGAGCTAGGAAGTGCCCCTTCATCTTTTGTTTTATGAACCAGAACATGGATTGTATGAGAATTGTGTGACTTCTTCAAATGTTTGATGGAATTATCCAGTGATACCTTCTGGGCCAGGAGTTTCCTTTTTGGGGGAGTTCTTGAAAATTACAAACTCATTGGTCTAATGAATATAGATGTACTCAAAGGATCAATTTCATATTAAGTAAATTGTGATTTTTTTGTTTTTCAAAGAATTATTCCATGTCTCTTAAGTGGTCAAATTTGTGCATGTAGAGTTGTGACAGCCCCTTACAATCTTTTGAAAATCTGCAGGGCCTTTAGTAACCCCCTTGTTTTACTTGTGATGCTGGGACTGTGGGTCATCTGCCTTTTTACTTTATTAGTCTTGTTAGAGGGTTATTACTCTAATCTTCTCAAACACCAACTTTTTGCTTCATTATTTTTCTCCACTGATTTTTGGTATCAGTTCCACTGTGTTTGGATCTCTTTATCATCTTTTTTGTTTTCTTTGCTTTGGCTTTATTTTGGGTTTCTTCCTGCAGTAGAATTTAGATTCTTGATTGGAGACTATTTTTGTGGAAGCATTTGGTGCTCTGAATTGCCCTCTCGGCACGTTTTAACTCCATCCCACAAATTTTGATCTGCCCTGTTTCTATTTCCATTTAGTTTAATGTATTTTTTTGTTTCCCTTAAGATTTTTTTCATTAACCCTTGGATTATTGAGAAGTATATTTTTCATTTTCAAGTGGCTGGAAATTTTCTTTTTCCTGCTTTTGATTTCTAGTTTCCTGATGTTGTGATTCAAGAACATACTGTTTGTCAGTTAAGCTCTTGCAGCTTGGGAATGTCTGATTGATAGCCCTGGATAGTGTCAGGTTTAGGAGGTGTCCAGGGGCCTTTGAAAAGAAAGTCTATCCTTGTGCTGTTGGGTGGATGAGAGCCTCTCATTTGTTAGTGTAGCTGAGTTCTTTATATCCTGTTGTTTCTTGCCTAGATTTCTCGTTTGTCTTAACGGATTGACAATGGATACACTGAAAATAGATTTTGATCCAAGGCAAGAGTGGTGTGCCTGGCGGGGACAGGGGTGTTACAGTTGTGGGTACAGGCCTGCTCTGTGCTCACAGGAATGGTAAGAGGATATGGGGGCAGCGCAGGCGTGGGGTTTTCCATAGGATGCCCCCAGACTACGGTTTGCTTCTTTGCCTT